AATTCCTATGTAAGTGAGAAGTAAAAACACAATGGGAATGGAAGCCCTAGAAATCTCTTGCTTTCCATAACTATTTTGGATGTAGATGCAGAGGTCAGGAAGGGCTAGAAAGCCACCTTTCTCCTTTCTATCATACAGCTCCTCCCCAAAGCAATCCAAGGGCAGCCACAGGAGAGCAATGGCACAAATATTTGTCAGAGCACTACAGAACACCTCAACAGATTTCCATCCTCATGTTAAGAGCAAAGGGACACCTTGAGCTAGTTTTGCACCATTAAAAAAGGAAAATGACTTTGGTTATGAAGGGGGTCTTTCATATTTGAACAGTGTATGATTTGACTATGTTCCAACCCCACTGAAATTCAAGATCATACTTAATAATGTAGATGATCTTTGTAGTCTTCCTTCTCCTGTTTCTGGAACATAAATTGTAAGTGAAGTATCTACACATCTCCAGGTTACCTGAGGAAGTAACAAAATTATTTATCTCTAAGTAGTTGTATTAAAGTAAAACCTTTATCTTGAACTGTAGTAATTTATCCGTTCTTCATTTTCATTCACGTTCTCCATACTTTCTTTTTTATTTTGCAAAGAAACAATTAAAGCTATCAGGCCATTAGTAAGCACACAGTTCCTTTTCTCTCAACGTAAGATTTGCTCTTTTCTGCACTATGTTTCAAATTTCAGAGTTACCTGTTTCAAACAAATTTCCCAGGATATCCAGGTACGAAGCTTTTCCAGTAGCACAGGAAAATCTTTGATTGCTTATTTCTTTACATGGAATTAAACTAGCAGAGAATCTCAATATGATCAACAGGAAAGAGTTACATTTACCTTCTGCAAACTTGCTCGTGACTTTTCAGAAAAGAAAAAGAGTTCATGCTTTCAGTTTAAAGTACACAAATGCATTGCACTGCTTTTTTAAAAAAAATCCTGAAACTGTACTTTGCTTCTTGAAATTCAAAGAACTTGGACTTCGCTGTTCATTTGACATTGTCAGTGGCTGTTTTGTACTGACAGAACATACAGAATATGATCAATTTTGAATGGCAGCATTTTATATTCATTTTTCAGGGTGAAAATAAGATAAAAAACATGGCAAACAATGCCTCACAATGAGTAAAATCAAAAACATTGGAAGTTTTACTCATGAGTTTGTCTCATTACAACTCTGTAAAGTTTTATGCATTTATCTACATAAACCTATACGTACTTACTATCTTGATGAAACCCTGCTACTTTCTATGTTCCTGAAATATAGTTCCATATAAAGAATCTTGCTTTATTTGGTGAACTACACATCCTGTTTGCATTCTCTTCTCTTCTGAAGAGCAGAAATACACGAAGGATCAGCTTCCAGTGGAGGAATCAGTCCCCTAGAATGATCTCCACAAAAAAAACTTCCTCACATTCCACTGGAAGCTGGGAGGCCACAGTTCATCCTGTGAGGCCCTTTTGTTTCTTTGCCCTTTTGTCCTTCCTGAAGTTGATAGCATCAATCGCTACGTTATTTGTAGAAGTATGAGATTCTTAAATTCCTCTACAAGAACATAACAGCATCCTCGTAAGCTGCACCTTAAATATCCACCACGTTTCAAAGCTCACATTTTAGTTTCTTGATTGTCAACTATTTTTAAGTCAAAGAGCGAATTCTGACTTTCTGACATGGTGCAGAACTGACCTCCTTCTTATGACCCATGGCATACATTATGCCTAATGGCCATGGTTATATTCACAGTATTCACCACTTTTCTGTTTCAGCATCTATTAGCCAACTTTCAAGTAGGAAGGATAGAAAACTTTTTAGATAGGAAAATTTACTTTCTATTTATTATTCCACTCACTGTGACATTAAAGAAAATTCATTATGATTAATGGCCCAGACTTTTTATATATTTCTTATCTTTATAAATGTCTTTTTTTTTTTTTCTCTCAATCCTTAAGCTCATAACAGCTTTCTCTGACCTTTTCAAACTTTTTACTTTAATTTTTCAAAGGTTGCATCTGTCTGTATCTTAACTAGGGGAAGAAAAACTCAGTCTGTAGAATATTCTCAGGCCATGTATTTTTATGTAAGGCAGCTTTTATACTTTGCATTTATGTGACTGAATTTTAGTGATACTCAGTATCAGCAAACATGAGGTAACTATGTATTAAGCACTTTGTTGCTGCATCTAGCAGTCAGTAGAAGGTAGGCAGCCAGCACATCATTGCTAAGTTGGCAAAACACTGTAACAAAAGGCAGTGCAGAAATTCATCAGGTCTGTGCAGAACACTGGCAGCCTATCACTGCACTGCTCTGCAAAGTTGTCCTTGCTTAAAAAACAAAAACCCCACCACACAAAAAACTCACCTATACAGGAGAAAAGCAACAACAACAAAGCTTTAAGGTTGATTTCAACACTGACACGGTCAAACTAATGAGAATGAAATGCTAATGCAAACTCATGCAGCCGATTCATGTTGGCAGACCAAGGGCAGAACATTAGTTCAAACCAGCAATAACGGTTCGTTTTCTGTCTCTTTTCTGTGCCATATCTATTCTATCCTAAATTGAAGCAATGTATCTATTCCTCTTGAATTTTTTTTTTTTCCCAAAGCATCCATCTTTTTAAAAAGTCCAGCTGTGTACAAAGACATACATGACCTTTTTGGCCGTTCTGACTCATGCTCCACCATGTTTTTCAGTTAAGAAGTTGCAAGGGAAATCTATTAGAGAAGCAGTCCAGAAAGAGGTGCAACTTTTGTGGTCTTAACTTCTATTTTAATAATTACTGGTGCCATCATTCAGATTTCCTGCCTTCCTGTTTTTGTTACAAATTGCTATAATTATTATATAAAATATAAAATATAAAATATAAAATATTATATAAAATATAAAGTCACGCAATTTTTATTCCAATGTTTGCTCCATTCTTTGAGCAACCTGGTCTTGTGGGAGGTGTCCCTCCTATAGCAGGGAGATTGGAACAAGATGACCTTAAAGGTCCCTTCAAACCCAAGCCATTCTATGATTCTATGATTCCTCATCTGCAGCAATTGCTGTTGGCTTTACCTGGTGTCATGAAGTGACCTTGAGGAGCTGTTCTCAAATGTCCATATGACAAACAAGGTTTTCATTTGACTATTTATATGAGGTCCATATGAATTCTCTTTATGATTATATTACATATTTGGTATGCTTAGCCTTTTTACAGCAATTTATCCTCATAAAACACTTCGTGCTCTAGAAATACTATCAACATTTTACAAATACAGAGCAGAACAATGAAAAAGATGAAGATGCAGCTTATTAAGGTATCCAAATGCTTAAGGATGCCTATTGGGATCTTTAAGAGTGGTCTGACATATAACTCCTATTGAACTAACTGAAGATTTTTTACTAAATGCCTAATTTGCATTTTTACTTTTCTGAAAACCTTTAAAATCTGACTCACCCATGTCACCCTTCAAATCCAGACCAGTGCATTACGTCTAAAACTCATTAGCCCTTAAACTTATGTTCTAAGCAGTGCAGTGCTTCCCAAAATAGAGCAAATTAAGTGAAAAATAAAGATGTGTCACCAGCACCCAGTCGCTGACCTGCCCCTCTCTGCTGCACACCAGTCCATTGCTGGGATGGTGGCAGGCCACGGACACAGCTGCACGGCATTATGTATGAAATGAGAGATTTCCATGGGGACTTTGCTGCTGAGTGTGTCGGAGGGTCTGTGAGACCAAGTTTGCTGACAGACCCTCGTGTTGGGCTCAGCATTCCCACAGTTCAGTTTGGCTTTGCAGTAACTACTGCAGCTGTCCAGCCCTGCTGCAATACACATGGTAAAGCCAAGCACATTAATGGGTCAAACTGAGTGTGGTGCTGCGTGTCAGCTGTACCCTTCATGTGGCTGGGGCTAAGCAAGTAGTTGCTTCATTAGAGAAAAACACACACAAGCCAGGGGAAATGCCTTCATTTCTGCACAAAAGCTAATTATGTATATTCTCCAGCTACGCTTTTCTCAACTGAGAGAACTGTGGAGAGGTGACGGCCTCGGGATGTGCCAGGGGAGGTTCACAATGGATATTGAGAAAAACTTCTCAGAAAAAGTGGTGAGGCATTGGGATGCACTTGCCCAGGAAGGTGATGGAGACACCATCCCTGGAGGTGTTAAGAGTCACGGAGTCATGGCACTGACAGACATGGTGGGGATGGATTGCAGTTGAATCTTTAGAGGTCTTTTCCAACCTTTATGATTCTATGATAACATGACATCATTAGACAGGTCTATTGCCTGGCCAAAGAGGAGATTGCTAAATTTGTCTAACGCACATCACCTTCACACAGCTAAGAAACATAGGTTATAAAAATCACAACTTCATCTTTTGCCAAATTCTGCCACAAAGATATCCTTTTTCAGCACAGGCTTTCTTCACCTCTCTGTTCAGGCCCCCAGTTGCTGGACAGTGACTGGATCTGCTATCAGGGCTTTTCCACCATTATTAAGTCAACAAAATCCACAACTTAAATCAAGCCAGCATACTATTATATGATTGCAAATCATGTTATTTATTTTTGGAAGCCAGGTAGACTGTCTTCTTACCATGATATCCAAGGATTGGCTGAAAAAGCCTTGTGGGCAGCCAGTTTAGTGGGATACCATATGTATTTTAATCAAAGAAATGGGAGGTAAGGTAAATTTGTATATTCTTGACATAATACTGGAACTCTACAGAAGTGGTTTCTGAGTCAGGGCTCATGGGTAATGCGTTCCCTGCCAGACCCTCTGAGATTGCCTGCAGCTTCAGAAAATAAAAATGTTAAAACTGAGGCCAATACAAAGATGCTGCCTGCAGCATAATTGCTCACTGTTGTTGCGCATCGGCTGGCGAAGGTTAGGGAGCACTGCTCTGTGTAACTGAGCAGGTTTGCAACGATATCAGAAGTCTGTTGTGTAATAATGCTTTAAGCAAGTCAGGTAGAAATAAATGCAATTTTATTTATTTATTTATTTTATCTTTAGGTAGTGGTAATGAATTTTTACTGAGCACACCGTGTTTGAAGAACGCTCCCAGATCGATGCCAGGTACTCTCTGCCTCAGGCTGATGGAAAAACAGGTACTTTAAAGAAATCTGGAAAGCTGTTATTCAAGTTAGATGAGGCTGAAGTCCTCCTATGCATTTCAAGTAATTTAGTATTCAATGTGGGCACTGATTCAAGTAGACGTTTTAGGAATAATCACCTGATATACAAATATGTGATTGATCCCTTGGTAAATGAAAATTACAGAAAATCACAGGTCTCACCAAAATTGCTGCTTGTGTGAACAAATTAAATTGGATTATAAGAACAAAATGGATTTGTCTAATTTTAAAGAATCCTTATCCAATGATTGCATGAATTACTTTAATTTGAATGTTTTTTAGTAAGAGAGAAGCCAGAATGGCTGCAACTAATACTGGATACAAGCGAACTTAGTATTGTATCCAGTGTTTGCTTGTATATCCTTATTCATTTATAGAAGAGCTTCCCTTCTTCCTTCTCTGAATATTTTCGTATTTTTCCTGGTTTCCTCCAGACTTTTTGGCATATCCAAACATTTATCAGTAAGCTGCACTTTGAGTTGTACTTCAGACTTTGCAAATGACAGAAAATGTTTAAGAATATACTGAAATAAGACTGCCCTGTGCTAAATGAGCTAATGTATGTCAGAGAATATTAAGGAAAACAATGTGAGGCTGTGATGATAGCCAATCTAGCACCAAGGCTTCGCAGTACGACAAACGTTTCAACTTCTATTTTAAGTCTTTAAATGTCTCCTTCTCATACTAAGCAAACTCCACTTGATGATGTAAACATATTAGGCTCCTACTTCAAACCGTACTCTGCCTTTCCCTTATGATCAGAGATGTACAGAAAGAACATCATTAATCTTTCAGCATTTCCGAGCAGCTGGAGCACAGCTTCTTCATTAAGAAGCTTCCTGACGTGAAAGTTTTAAAATCGGTGCTATTGCCAAGATACGAAAAGGCAACCATAATCCTGAAACACGCAGACACAAACACTCAGTTTGCATCTTGTCAGACCTACAACCCCTACACCTGCTACAGTCATACGAGAAACAGCCGGTTTGCCTTGTGAAAACGCACAGCTGAAAAGTTAGAATCGTAGAATCATAGAACGGCCTGGGTTCAAACTGTGTCGTACGTATGCTGCAGCGCAAACCCTACGTCTCCACAATTAAGGCCACAGGAGCACAGCAGGAGCCCCGTAGCCCCGCGACACGGCGGCGAGGCATCGGCCGCGCTGGGCAAGGTCGCTCCGAGCCGGGCCGTCCTCCGAGGCCGCGGGCCAGCCGCCGCCTGCCGGCCAGGAAAGTTGCCCGCGACCCTGCCCGCAGCTCGCAGGCAGCCGGCGCCGAGCTGCACCGCGGACGCTCGCTAGGCGAGCGGGATCGAGAGCGATCGGGGGGCTTCGCCCGCCTTCCGGGGATGCACCCAGCGCCGGGGCTGCGGGGAGCTCCCGCTCCCGCCGCCGGCATCCCCGCGGGCCAGCAGGCCTCGCTCCACCGTTCCCGGCCTCCGCCTGGGGAACTCGCCGTCCGCCCGCAGCCGGGAACGGCGCCGGCCGCCGCGCCCGGCCCGCCGAGCCGCCCCGCCGGCCATACCTGAGTCGGTGAGGCGGGGCCGGGCTCTGTCCCGCAGGTAGTAGATAAAATCCCGGCAATTCTCGTTCTCCACCGCGCCGACGGAGCACAGCTCGGCCAGCAGCTGCAGCGCTTTCTGGCAGATCTCGTCCTCCCTGTCGCCGGGCATCGCCCCCCAAGCATCCTCGGGAGCGGAGCGGAGCTGTGCGGTCAGGCGCCGCGCCGCTGCCCGCCGCCCGCCAGCAGCCCCCCGCGCCGCCGGGCCGCCGCCCGCATCCTCCGCCAGCGCCGCCGGCCGCCTGCCGCACCCCCCGCCGCTAGCCGCGCCGCCGGGGGCCGACCCGGCGCCGCTGCCCGCCGGCCGCGCCGCGCCTCGGTGGCGGAGGAGGATGATGGAGAGGAGGAGGGTCCCACCAGTTGAACGCGGGAGCCGGGAGGGCGGGCGTGCGCCCCGCCGCGCCTCGGCAGCCCTCCCCGGCGGGGAGCGCCCGTCCAGCCGCTGCCCTGCCCGCCGCTGCCGGCGCCTCTGCCGGTGGGCTGCGCCTTTCCGCTGGGGCGGCGCGACCGGGCCGGGAAACCGGGGAGAGGCTCGACAGGCGGCAAACCTCGGGGAAGTCTTCCTCCTCCTCTTCATCCCCAGCCAGGCCCCAGGCCCCTCTTTGCTGGTCTCCGTTTGGTCTTCATTTAGTTAAACACCGTGAGGTTTTGTGCACCGCTGCCTACTCGTTTTCAGAAAGAATTACATTCGCTCAACTAGTTGTCTTGAAATTATTTTTCTATACGTAATGTGTGCCCTCACTCTTGGGAACCTAGTGGAGGGGAGAACCTTTATAATGTCATGGCCTTGTAGCAAATGGTACGCTCCAGCTGTTTGGTGTGGTGGGTTCAAAAGAGTTAAAGCACTGGTGACAAATCCCGGGCACCTTAGACTTGGACATGGCTTGAGAGGCAGGCATAGCACCGGAGGCAGGCGTGAGAGCCTCCTGCCCCCTGAGGAGGCAGCTGTGGAAACGTAGGGGTGGCACAGCCTTCTTCCATCACACGTGGTTATCACAAGAAATAAGCTGTAAGGTGCTGCTTCCCTTTTAGGACTTGTAGGCAGGGTGGCTGGTTGATGTAGGGAGAAGTAGCCACCACGTTTAACCTTATGTTTGTGTCTCTGTATTGGGATGGTTTGACCAAATCTCAGAGGCCAGAATGATCTGGGAAAGTTCAAACTGGCATAGATGTTCAGCCTACTGTTTAAAGACTGGTGATAATGGTTCTAGAAATAGTGTGTACAGCAACATCTTATGTAGAAGTTCTTTTGAAGAACTGAAGTAAGTTAAATTGTGTTCTGTTAATGGAGATATTAACAGCAGGAATTGTTTAGTAGTGTAATGATTTCTAGTGCTTTGGCAGCATTGCTTTTAGCATGACTTTTTTCTCATTTACAATAGAAAAAGGATGTCTCTAAAGTGTGATTGTATAAGCCAAGTATAACTTCCACAACAAACAGGCATTTTTTTCACTCTGGTTTTTCTTAGAAATTACTAAATGATAAAATGGTCTGCAGCTGTTATAGTTGCTGAAGTCATATTTTTAAAGCCCAGAGATGTTCATGCCATAAGTTTACGTTTTCACATCTAAGCAAGAGGAAACTTCCTACTAGCCTCAATAAATGCTGCACAGATACTTATGTTAGTGCTGCCAATAGCAGTGGGGTTGACTTGCTTCTCCAAGCATTGGAGAAGAGAGGGAAAAGAGAATTTGGAAGAGTTGCTGTGAAACACAGTGTTCTTGGAAACCAAGTAGCAGGCAGTAGGAGTACTGCTGCTGCTCTTGTGCTACAGTGAAGAAGGGCTTCACTGCAGCACAAGAAGAGATTTATAAAACATAGGAGAACTCTGATATACCAGAGTCTCTTTGGGGGAAAACTGACTTCAGAAGGCTAAATGAATTATTCACGTCTGTAAGCTCTCTGTAAGGGAGCAACTCTTTCATCTCTAACACCAAATTGAGTACCGCTCCATGCTGGGGATAAAGAGGACGAAAGACAGAGAAGCTGTCAAAGGCCACTGTTGGAGACATCTGTCAAGTACAATCTGAGGAGTCCAGTGATCATGCTGGTGTTCCATTGCTTGCACTGTGTCCAGGATGGTTGAATGTATCAATTGAAAGGAATATTAATGTATTTACTCAAGTGTGGTTTTGATCCTGTAGCACCATAAGCCCATCATTAACCTGGAATTCTAGCTCACTGCAGAATGAACTCTGGACAGCTGGGTGATGGAGTGGTAAATTCTTTTTCTTTCTCCTCTAATTAAAGTATCTTGTTTCATTTTTGAATGGTAACAATTTGAAGGTGCTGAGATGTTTGTAATGCAGGTGATGGCAGGAAATTTCTCACAGCCTAGTAGAGGAAAGACCATGAAATTGCTTGGATGTCATTCATAATAAACAAAGACATATATTCTCAAAAGCACTGAGCATATACTAAGTGCATTATCCAAGAAAATACCCATGTCTTTTTCTAGAGATAACTGCAGTAAATGTAATCTGCTATGTCTAAAAGCAGATGCAATCTCTCCTTCCTATGCACATTTGTGAAAACTGGATTACCTCTCCATTTGTTGCCATCACGTATGTGTTTTTGTACTTGCAGTCATCCCTAGTTTTGATGAGTTTACTCTTGTCTCAGCTGCAGATTTTGCCCATTCAGGGCAGGTGTTCTGCTGAAGATCACCAGTGAATGCTGCCCTAATTAACTGTTGTCCTGAAAGGGCATTGCATGCAGCAGAGGGCCACTCCTTTTAACCATATGTTGAATGTTAGAGTTTGTAATTACTGACCATAAGGGAGGTTGTGATGAGGAGAGTTTGGCCTCTTCTCTCAGGCAACAAACAGGACCAGAGGAAATGGCTCCAGGTTGAACCAGAGGAGGTTTGGATTAGATATAAGGAAGAAGTTTTTCTCTCAGAGAGTGGTCAGGCACTGGAATGGCTGCCCAGGGAGGTGGTGGAGTTGCTGTCCCTGGCAGTGTTCAAGAGGCGTCTGGATGAGGAGCTATGAGATACGATTTAATAGCTTGTGGTAGCAATGGTAGTGGGAGGACAGTAGGACTAGATGATCTTGCAGGTTGTTTCCAACCTTGCGATTCTATAATTCTATGATTCTATGGATGGACAACAGGCCAGAGGCTGAGTAATCTGCACCATGATCAAAGAACTCAAAGTTTCTGGCTGGATACCAGTCATTGCTTGTGCTTTCCAAGCCCACTCCGTGTCCTTCACGGCCCCAGAAGGTATAGAACAAAAAATCACTTGAGCTCCCACTCCTTGAACTAAATGCCCCGAACCCATGAAATCTCTTTTCATAGTTCATAGGTTTCTCTGAACAATTTCATCACTGCAATTTCATCTCCAATCACAAGGGAAAAGTAAGAATCTGACAAAGCAAGTCACAGACACCCCAAATGAAACCTGGCTTTCAACAGCATTGAGTGTCACAACCAAGTTCAGTGTTTGCAGTTTATAATCACCTGGACCTTGAATGTACCTTCACAGTGGAGTTGCCATGATATGAGGTGCTCCTAGTCAGTGCTTTAACTGTACAAAAGATAAGTTTTATGTCATTTGGTTTTTTACTCATTTTCCTCCAAAATGGGTGGAGTACAACATGTACTCAGGTTCTCTGTAGTGTCTGAAATTAAAGGCTTCAGGCCTGAACCAGGAAGCATTTATTAGTGCCTACTAATATGAATTCTCACAGGAAGCATAAACGTATTTATCCAAACAAAACACATAAGCTGACTTGTCACTGGGTTTTCAGTTAACAGAGAACTTTCTGAAGCAACCGAGTCACACAAGGAGACACGATCCAATTTTGGCTGATCTGAATTTTGAGATAACAGTCTTGGAAAAAAAAAAGTATGGAGAACTCAGCTTGCTAATTAATATTTCCAAAGTGTCAAAGGTTATAGCCAAGTAAAAATGATGGGAAACCTTCTGAGCGTCACATAAGAAACCAGCTTTCAGCACATTTCCTTGTCTGTGCAGCTAGGATATCTCCAGACTGACAGCACTGAATCCAACTGGCTGCTCAGTGAAGCTGCTGAAGTAAATACTGACGTGGCTGTGCTCCAAAGCAGTACTGGGCAGGACTCGTGCATTTTTGAAGTAACGTTTAGCAAAGTTCTGAGCACCACTGGGCAGTTTGTGGTTGCAAACAGAAACTGCATCAACTCTAGCGAGTTCTCCGTCATTTAATGTGTGAGTGCCTTGTTTCAGATGATCATAACTACAAAGCAGACAAATGCTAGGCAATTTCACGAGGTGCAGATGAATGGAGAGTAGAGCGCAGGAGAGAAAAACCAAGGTAGCACTGGAGAGAGGGAAGCTCTGCACGACTACCCGTGGCAAGTTTGCCATACTTGTGAAGAGTGCTTGTATCTCGGTACATTGGAGAGCCAGAGATCTCAAAGCCTTTCCTTTCCCTGATTCTCCGTTTTATTATGGTCTAATGGAATTCGCTGCAGTACCAGAAAAGAATGCATCAATCCCTCCTCTGCCCCAAAATGCTCTGTTTCAAGAGAGCGCTGCACACCACAGCCCATGAAGTCAGCTGTAAGCAGTTACATTGGCCTACTTTGCCGTGTGCTTCCTTGTGATTTTTAATAGCGCTACGTGTCTTCTTTATCCCAAACCAGCAGTTCTCATTCTGTGGACTAGAATCTCTGCTGCCATGCCACAGCTTGAAATTATGTCACAACACAGATGCGCATCAACGCAGAAATTTTCCTATGTGCTCCAAAGCAATCGGCCTCCAAACACAAATCTCTGATAGCAGAGTGATTGTTCTTCTAATCCCAGCTCCTCTGAGCATAAAATCTTCCTCCTGTAATACAGACGCTTATTCCAACAGGAAAAGGCAGCACTGGGCTGTTTAATGGAAGAAATAATTAAGCGGATCAACTTCAGATGAATACAGAATGAACTAGATAAGCTTTTCATACAGCTACCAGGCAGATTACGCTGTTCTCTGGCTCATCAAGGAAAGAAAACAAGATGCTCTTCACAAAGCATGAGGACTGACACACGCTCCTGAGACAGACCTCCCTCTTTCAGGAAGGCATCCCTCTTAGTGAGTTGTTTAATTTTCCTGCTAGGTTGCAGATGCCAAACGAGTAAATATTCTTCTGGTAGGATGGCATTATGGTGTCCTGAATTTACAGGAAGAAGCCATAGAGGCAGAATAAC